GTTGGTTAATGATTTAGACTATGGCTGTGTCTTCTCTCATCATTCATACTTTGTGAACAACTCCATGAAGTTATTTAAGTGGTCTCCCTTTTTATGTTAATGTTGAATCTCCTGATTTGGGTTTCATTCCCTAACTTTGCGTCCCTACCTTTTCCATCCCCGTATCCTTCACAGTTTGAAGTCGTTGTTTGGTAGGCTGTTAAAAACTGATTATGTCACTACGATTGATTCGTGTCCTTTGATTACTCGCATTCGTGTTAAGTTAGACATCACCAAAACGCTATCCTGATAGAGTTTTGCTTGGTCATGATAAATTTGGGTTGTATGCTTAGTATGTAAAAATTTGGGTATGCTTAAGTTTCCTCCTTTTTGTGTTAATTGCAAGTCTCTTAGCCATTCAAATTTGGATTGTTATTTTGCATCATTTTATTGTTGTGAATTATGAGAATGTTAAATTTGGCCCTAATGAGGCTTTCCTTAATGGTGTTGTCAGTCTAGATGATGAGGAAGTTCATAGTATTACGGATGCTTCGTCGACTAATGTATTACCTATGACTAATTCTTATGAAAATAGAGAGGGTATTACTAATGTTATGGGTGGCAATACTTGTATGGTGAAACATATAGTTATCCCCTAATGGACCCCTAGTTCTAATATTGGTGTTGATGATGAAATTGTTATAGCTGATTCTGGTTTAAACTCTATGCATAATTGCTTTGTCACCCAAGTTGCTAACAAGTTGAAGCCTAGGGAGTGTCAGGCTAATAAAACTATGGGGGATCTCACTTATGTTGTGGCTGTTGAGTTTGGTAGTACTTCAGTTGTGGATGTTAGGCCTCAACAGGGATCTTTTGACCCTGAGATTTGTAATACTCTTTTTAACTTTGCTTTGGATGTTTCTGCAATGGTTCCTATTATTTCCTTGCCTTTTCAATTGTTGATGTTGGTGAAGGAAAGGGTAATAAACAAATTGATCAATCTAATTGGATAGTTTGTAATTATGAAGAAAATTGTGAGCTTGGGGGGGTGCCTTGTGGTAACCTCTCTAAGGTAGTGATTTAAATGTGATTCAGGTGATGAATGAGAATTTCTTTGTTGGTTCTAGCAAGAAAGGAAAGAAAAATAAATGTAATGGTTACAAATTCTTGTATTTCAAGTGGCAAATTTACTAGATCCAATGGAAAATAACTTTGGCATGGGGTTAGTTTTTTGGTGTGAGGCTTGTTCTGTTCTGTTCATGTTGGTTTGGTGTTCTAGTATTTGGGTGGCATTTAAGTGTTGTTGTCTTGTCCCCTGGGAGCTGTGGCTTCTGTTGGTGTTTTGGTGCTTTCTTACTATGGGTGGTATCCCTATCTTTGTTGGCGTCCATGTCTTTGTTTTTCAAATTTATTGGTTTTCTGGTGATTAGGTGCTTCTTGGTGTTGTTATCTTTTTTTCTGGGAGTTATGGCTTCTGTTGGTGTTTAGATGTTTTCTTGTTGTGGGCCCTCTATCTTTGATTAGGTTTGCTAATTTTATGCTTTGGAGCCTCTTAACTTCTTGCAGATATCTAGAGTACTCGTGTTGCTGATCATGGTAGGTTGCTGATGTTTGTGGTGCTGACCATCTTGGTTGTTTTGCTTGTGTTTGCTTCTTGGGTTTGTCATCCTTAATTATTTTTCCTTGCTTTTTTAATTGTAATAGATAGCATCTAAGGCTCATTAGATTTTGCTTTAAATGTTGTACTTTTAGAGAGCTTCTGATCATCCTCTAAGGACTTGTAACCTTTTTAATTAGTAATATATAGGCCCCTACGTGGGGTTTAACAAAAAAAGGTAAATATATATCAATTAGAGCATATTATTTGATTAGAGTTGGAAAAGTCAAATGACATAATAGTTGTTATCAAGAGAATGTTGACCTATTCAATTGGTCGATAGGACTGTAGTTAGGCGACAAAGTTCGGAGGGCCCATAGTTAGGTGGCTGAGATCAGAGGGACCATTATAAGACGACGAAGGTATGAGGGAGGACATAGTCAGTGGGCAATGGATGTTGGAGGGACCGTAGTGGGCAAGTGACAAAGATTAAATGGACAGTAATATATGACTAGCCAGGATACCTGACTTGTTGTGTGTGTGTGTGTGTGTGTGTATATATATATATA